GAAAACTATATCTAAAAATGTTATTATTAAAATCAGGAAAATTCAAAAAGAGAATATAGTAAAATGTATTGGGTATAAGGTTGAAGCCTCTTAATGAGGTATTCCCTTTAGGCCTATTCAAAAATTATTTTAGGAGGAAATTTAATATTTTTTACTTTGTTAAACATGTTATAGAAATTTTTTTGCTAAAATTAAAGTAATGATGAAAAAAAGGACATTAGGTCCTTNAAGTAATGATGATGAAAAAAAAGGACATTAGGTCCCTTTATATTAGAAGTTGCCTAAAAAAATATTGATAGCGCTTGTTCAAGGAGGGGCCAATCTCTCTTAAATACACCCCTGTTATACATAAAAATTATTAATAATCTAATTAAAATAATTGTGTTTATTTTATAGAATAATTAAAAAAAAATTTAGCAGGTTATTATAAGTGGCACACTGTAAATTTAAATTAAAATTAATATTAAAATAAAATTAATATTAAAAATAAAAATAAAAATTTAATTTTGATAAATATATTGGTAACTGCGATTTAACGATGAACATCATAGTTATCATAGATGAACCCCAATTCAAAAGATAAACTCATAGTCTCATACATCATATATGAGAAAAAAGAAAATTATTAACTCTGTACTTAGTACTGTTCTTATAATGAAAGTACAAACTTAAATAATTATAACGTCATGAAATTTATATATAACATATAACATTCCTTGATAAAAATAGGGCAAATGCAAAATAGTGTCCTAATAATAATACACAAAACACCATATAATTAAGGTTCATAATAAACGTATCAGCAGAAATGAATCACTGCGCATAATAAAACCATGCGCGTGGACTTAAAAAAAAAAAAGCTCGTTAAAAGGTGAAAAATGAACGGATTGAATTGATTTTTTTATCACATCTCAGGAATGTCATTGGGCGGGTCTGATGAAAATTTCAAACCTTAAGTCGTAAAACGCTGGCGTCAGCGAGCGTTTTTCTCGAAAACGGTCGAAATTTTAAAACGCTCGCGGCCGAGCGGCAAAAATTTTCCGACCTTCGCCAATAATTTTCCCGGAGTCTGGTGACCGAGTACTTTCGTTGAATAAAAAAATTTTGAAAATCCGAGCACGCTAAGTAATTTTCCCAGAAAAGCGTTTTTTTCCTTGTTCTATTATATAATAAGATATAATAGGACGCGTACATGTGTATTATTAGCAAACAGAAAAATCGTCATTTTNATACTTATAAAGAATATATTCTTCGTTTTTTTTTTAAATTTTTATATTATAAGAATATAAGGTTAGGCATAGGTTTTAACCGAAGTGCAGGTAAACGTTCAGTAAATGAACGAATCATGAAACAGTGTGTCCGATATATTGCGTGAAACGAACGAACGAATGAACGATATCTATTTTTTTTGCGATCCGGATCAACTCATTCACTGATATGACCCATTCAAAAAGACCCCTTCGTTCGTGAACGACCCATCACTAGTATGTAGGTGTTACGCTGTGTTTAAACAATTTGTCTAAAAATTCACGTTTTTTTAAAATGTATATTATCAAAATGCCGAAATATTCGCTCAGTGGTTTTGTAAAAGAGTTTGGGTATAATTTATAATTTTTTTTTTCATATTAAATATGTGTGTTATGTAATAAAATAATTTTAATTAATTTACATTAAAAAGGTATAAAAAATTTTTTCGAATTAATATTAACTTCTTTTTTTTTTGCATATAGTTATTGAAAAATTGATATATTTAATATATTTTAAGGCATATAATTGCATACTTTTACATATGTAAATGCATATTTTCATTAAATTTTGGTCATAAACATCTGAGCTCTAGTAATGATGCTTTCAAGATTTGTATTAATACTAAATTTGTAATTTCCTATATGATCAAACATAATGTGTAGTTTTTTATATTTTGCTTCACTTTAAAAATGTATTTAATGTAACTTTTGATGTATTTGTTTAGCACGAAAATCACCTTGGTTTGAATAAACAGAAAAATATTAGTGAAAAACGCTGTTGATGCTAAATTATTAGCTCAAATTTATATAATAAATAAGAAAAATAGAACATTGATAACTAAATATACAGAAATAGCAAAGAAATTCCAAATCCTACTAGACAAAACCATTTATGAACCTCATAAAACAGAGTATATTTCGGTAGAACCAAAAGATAAGGAATTAAGTTTAGAGGAAATCAAAACAGCCATAAAAATTTGAAATATTATAACTCTGCAAGAAACAATGAAATAGCATTACAATTATTAAGAAGTGTAGGAGATAATCTAAACATAAGGATATGGAACTTAATATAGGACTTATGGTAGAGGAAAAAAATACCAGAGAAATGTTACATAGCAATTTGTCCTATTTATAAAAAAGGATATCCAATGAATTGTGGTAATTATAAGAGGATTCATTGCTATTTACGACATAAAAAATTCTCTTTGACATAATTCTTAATCGCCTATGGCCATATGCAATAGACATCATAGAAGACTACAAAAGAGGTTTCTTAGTGGGGAAATAGACAATTGATCATATACTTATGTTCATGTAACTAGTAGAGAATTATTATAAATTCAATAAGAAACTACGTTTACTATTCTTGAGTTTAAGTTAGATCAAATATTCTTTAAATATTTGTATATCTCTACAATTTTACAATTATCTTTGCATATGTAGATTTTATATATTTCAAGGCTAATTAAACTAGAGAATTACAAGGTCAGTAAATTAACTCTAAGTTATTTTATTTGTAATGTACTATTATTATTATTCTCAATAAATTTATACTTTTTTATACATATGAAACTTATAATTATAAATTTCTAATTCTAATAATGTTAAATAAGTTTTAAAGATGTCCAAAATTTTCAATTTTAATAATCGTAATTTTTTTGTGGCTTTTTAAGTTAACTATTTTAATACAGTTTTAATTTTTAATTAATAATACTTATTTATCTAAAAAAAATACAATAGTATGTTAAATTGTATTAAAAAAATTATTTTTTTTTTACAATATACCTAATAAAAACATGTGAATGAAATATATATATTATATGTAAATGATTCTCATAAAAATGAAAAACATGACAATTTCTGTACCTAATCAAAGTTTCAAAATTATAACACTGTAAAACTGCAATTATTTTTAATTGTTTAAATAAAATATAGAAACTTAATAATTTTTGTAGTAAAAATTGATTAAATAGTTAAAAAATTATAAATTAAACACAGAACTAATTATTAGTAATATATGTTTCACTGTGTTAATAACTACATGTTATTATAAGATATTATATCGTTATAAAAAATGATTTACTTAAAAGTTTTAATCAAATGCTAATAATAGTTTTATACTACTAAAAAAAAATTGGCAGGTAAATGTTTTATTCAAAGTTTATTATATCCAAAGAAAATTATTTTTATTTAAATTTTTTCTTATATTCATAGAAATAGTAACCCAATCTCTATTGTATTTGATCACTTTCACTTTTGCTTTATCACTATTATCTTTGTTTTAAGATTATCTATATTTATGTAATATTCTGCATTTATCTTACAAAAAATAAAAAATAGTAACATAGAAATGAAATTTGTAAAAATTTTAATTTACAGTTTATTTAAAACATTACACTTTATTTGCGATATTATGTCGCGTATGTTTACCTATTTGCTCTATTTGTAGAACAAAATTAATTTAAAAAAACATGTGCTTCTGTAAAAAAAATCAATAATTTCACACATACTATATTTTTCAAAAAATAATAAAAACCAAATAACATTTATTAGATCAAAATAATCAGGAAAATAAACTACAAATATATATGGATATTTAAATTAAAAATAAAAGTATAAAAAATTAAAATATGTTCATTAAAAAAAAATGTATACTTTTGTTCATCAAAATATAAATAACAGAAATAGAATATAAAATAAGTCTTTCCAAAATTTAAAAACAAATACAATATTTTTATAATAAAATTGCACAGTTTGAATATTTGATGTATAATTGCTGTAACGCAAACAAAAAAAAAATTATATAACAGTACAAAATTAAACATAATAAATTTGTGTGTCCTGGATCTTGCACAAAAAGAAATATAATTATAAGAAAACCAATATAACTACCAATCTTAAAATATTATTTCTAATTTGTATAAGAAAATATGAAACAATGAATAAAAAATAATAATTTCAATAAATTGTAACTTAAATTAATATAACTAGGGAATAAATTATAGTTCAAATAATTCTAAATCCTGGTAAAAATACTTGTAAGTATTTTCATGATAAATATTTATTTATATTGCAGAATGATCCATGATATTTTTAATTAATGATGGTGAAATACTGAAACAATAAAATAGTTTACAATTATAATTATAATTAATAGTATACAGAGTGATTGGTATAACATAAACCATTCAATTACTCAAAAAATAAATACTATGTTGAAAAAAAGAATTTTGATTTCTTTTAGTCACATATTTCTTGATTTATCAGCTAATAATCACTTTTTAAAATCATTCATTATAACTTAAAGGGATGTCAACTTTATTATTTTGAATGGCAACACATATATTTAAAAACTTATAGAATAGAAAATAATCTAATTAAGAAAATGATTGATCAACAACAACTTTTGAACTAGTATTTCAGAAGTTATTAACATTTTAAACTAATGACTGTAGGTGAGGAGTGGATGCTACTTTTTTTATCACAAGTCATCTACTGAACGTACTCTTTTTCCCATCTAGATATAAAGATGAGAATAACATTTGAAGTAGTGTTCCAAAAGTTTTCATTGAGTTATATCAATATGTATGTTTGCCAATTAAAAAAATTAATTTGACATCCCTATAAATTATAAGGTATGATTTTAAAAAGTCATTATTAGTTGGTAACTCAAGAAATATATATAACTAAAAGAAATCAAAATTTTTTAATTCAACATAGTATTTATTTTGCGAGTAATTGAGTGGTTTATGATAAACCGATCATCCTATATTTATATAAATTTAACTTTGATGCATAGCTGAAAAGGTGTACTAGGTTTTCCTAAGTTATGTTTTTTTTTTGTAAGTCAATCCGTGTCAATGCTCTTTTCAAAACAATTTCACATAATCACGCAAAAAGATCAAAATCCTATCAATAGTTAAAACTATCAGCAACATCACTTATTTAAGGAAATTTTCCAAAAAATTACAATTGTTATAAAAAAGTTTATATTGAAATTTTTTATTTTTACTTTATATAGAAATAACGTTTTGAAAACTAAATTGATCATTATGAAATTTTTACTATTTCTATTTTATTTATACTGTTTATATTTTGGAAATTCAAACAATAACCAAAGTACTTTAAGGTTTTAAAGATATCAAAATTATTTTTTTCAATTTTTGATAATGTGTCCAAAAAATCTGTGTTGGTTAAACTAATGTAAAAATAAAGTTAATACAATGTACTTTAATTACTTAAAAATAAACATATTAAACCTAACCCAAAGCTTAATTTGTATGAGTTATTAGCTAAATAATCCAAAAATCCTACAAATTTGAGTATTAATTGTCATATTTTTATGTGTATTCATAATAACAGAACATCTAAATTATTCAAAACTAAATATATTTTGGTAAAATGTATTATAATATATTATATAGTATATTTTCTACTAACGTAATCATGGGAGGGTCATAGGTATCATATTCCCTATGACAAAAATAATTCTAAGGTGAATATATAATTTTTATTTTGGAAGGGAAGTTAAAAACTTTCTTATGTATTTCTTCCCTTTGAGACAAAACAGTAATTATGCCACTGATATTGTCAAAAAGTAATCATGAGATAATTTTTTTTTTTTTTTTGACACAATAAAGTATTAAATTAATTAAAATTTTTCAAATTCTAAATGATCTACATAAAAATTATTTTTTTTTAGTTTATGAACATTTGGAAACATTTAAAAAGGAAACACTAGTTTATTTTATATATGATGGTGAAAAATAGAGGCTGGAATTATATGCATTTATAAATTTTGTTAATTTATTATAAATACACCATCAGCCAGTACAAATTTTTTTTAACNATACACCATCAGCCAATACAAATTTTTTTTAACTGACTTTAAAACTTAGTAATGTGTTACTGAGGTTATAATTTGGTGGGAGGATTAGGGAAGTTATCACCCTAAAACAAAAAAATGTTTCTATACTTCTATATAATTCTATGATAAAATTTATAAATGTATATAATTCCTAGCCATTAATGGTAATATATTAAAATGAAGTGTTAACTTAATGAAAAAATAAATAAAATATACAATATACTCACTTTTTAATCATGTGTTCGTAAATTGAAACTGGAATAATTGTAATTGTGATTGTGTCAGGAGTCTTTGATATAATTTCATTTACATCTTTATCTTTCATTCCCACTACATTCTGTCCATTTATTTCTAGAAGTTGATGATCAGTAAGAACTCCATTGCGAGCTGCAGATGAATCTTTGACAATAGCATTAATCTTTCCATTTTTAAACTGGAATCCAACTTTACCAGCTCGATCTTTGTATAGCATAATAGATCTCTCTAAAGGTCTATTAAAAATCCACTGTTTCATTGAAATTCATAAAATATTATACAAATTTAATTACCTATCCCTAATGATAACATTAATATTGTTTGATGGGCAATTTTTAAACATTTTATGTACTTTATCAACACTCATGCCTGCAACAAATGTCTCATTTATTTGCAAAACTTGGTCACCAAATCTTAAACCAGCAATAGAAGCAGGACTATCCTTAACAATAACACTCACAAAAATACCATTATTTATAGCAGATAATTTAAGTCCTATTTGCCCTTTACCATCTTTGCACAATATTAACTATATGAAACAAGAATACAAAAGTTAGTTTTATAAAATAAAAATTTCATTATCATGAGCTTCTATGAGTAATTAATTCACTTATTACTTACTTTACGTACACCATTCGTTACTTGAGCAGAAGGAGATAGTCCAGACACAGTTACACTATTTTTAGCTAAAGTTTCCAATTCCATTCCCATATAATCCTTTAAAACTGGATAGAGAGCATTAAGTGATTGTTGATCCATACCTGAAGGATGGGAAGGACATATTGCCATGTATGAAGGATTTTCATTCTGGTTTTGAACTTCTAACTGAGCCTAAAGAACCAAAAATGTCGATGTTATAACAATATATAGTTTAATTTTAAATATCAAATGACAAATTAAATTGTGTTATAAAATCCAAGAAACTTCCAACATTACGACATTAATTACAATAAGAACAAAAAAACTGATAAAATTTAATTAACAAGTCTATTTTAAATATAAATATGTATAAAAGAAAAACTGTTTATTTTTAAGTTACTTTAACATTTGATATTTTGATAAGTAATTCTAAACTTTGTCAATAAGATTTCTAATTAATAAAATACATACATTTTATTTTTAAAAAATAAAAATTAGACAACTTACTCTTGCTAATTCACTCAATTTTAAATCTTCTAAAGATGGATACAACGACATTATGATCTTAAATGAAATACGATTATACCGTGTAACTTAAAGTCGTAATATTAAGATATTATTGAATATATGAAGTTTATCAAGTACTGATAAAAAATATGAACAATAATTTAAGTAATTCTTTAGGCACGTATAATATGACACGCAAGCGCAAAAAAATAGTTACATGAACTATGACTAACAAAGTACTCTTAATTATATGATGATTACTTTTATAAAATTCTTATTAGTCAATAAGTTATTGTTCAGTATTATCTTTTTTTTAATTTCTGGATGATAACAGCAGTCCGTAAGGGCGCAACCAGCTGTGCGACTACTAAATGAACTGAGCTCATTACTACGGTTAATAACTATATTGTTAGTTAAGTTGCATCCTAGAGAGGGGCAAGTTTGGGATTTTCTAATTGAAAAACCAAAAAATTATTTTTGAATTGAGAAAAATGGTAAGAAGTTATTTGAATTCGTTAATAATGACAGTGGCAATTTCAATAGAAGTCATATTTAAAATGCTTAAATATTTGAAAATAAAAACTGCACAAGGAAGTGACTTATACAGTTTTTAGTGATATGTCTAATTTATTGTATACGATATTTGTATTAAACATAAGTCTGTTATATTTGTCCAGTAGACATAATTACATACACCATCGTAAAATTTGAAAAAATTCAATAATGAACAATTAGTGACTTGTGTATTTCTTAAATGATAGATTCAATTTTTTCCATGAATATGTTATAAAATTCTCAGATATTTTGACTTTTTATTAGTTTTTTTATGCCGACTCTTAGTATGTTTAAATAAAACAAATGTATAAATAATCTTTTTTTTTATTTTGAATCTCGAAATAATTCACTGTACACTGGGTTTTATTAATTTATATACGACATTTTACAATAATTATAATAGATATATTTAAATGACAAATCAACACAGTAATATACAATTCGTAAGTATTATTTACAACGACATAGTCAATTAAAATATAGGAGTATAAATTTAAGGCTGTAGTTACAGCATCTTCTCTTCACAAAAAAAAAACAATTATGACAGTTAAAACTATATAAATAAATTTTTATTTAAATAATATATTTTAAATTAAATGTTATGACTTCTTAAAAGATTTAATCAGTAGTAAGGAATAATTTAATTTGATTATTTGAAATTAAGGAACTTTTTATGATTCACATGGAGTGAATTATGTAAATTATTGTACAATAGTAATGATTATTGTTAGCATTCGGTCCATCTCATCTTCAAAAATTCATCCTAAGATTTAATTTTGCACGTATATTATAGTCATCATAACAACCTTCTATATTATTAGATAAATAAATACATGCATTATAACGTTGAGATCAAAAACACCACCTAATAATTACAATGGTAGTGTTTCTCTTTATTTTCAAATATCTCTTAATAATCGTAATACCTGTTTCAAACAAGGATAGCGTTAGCTGATGCAGCTCACTTTATCAATAAAGAAGTTATTAATTCACACTTTTTTTTAATTGAAAGTGAACATGCTTGGTTTTATGAAGTTTTTACAACTCTATATAACTTAGTCTTAATACTGCAAAAGATTTTCTATCTACTGTCTTCTTTTAACGAAAATAATCGATCGAATTTATATTTGGCACATTTTGCCATATTTTACGATCATGATGTATCATGGCCATAACCGGTTCCAGAGAGTCCTCAAAATGGGTCTGGTCAGGTGAAAAGGTATTACACGAGTCATCGTAATGGAAACCGGAGTCCCCAGACCATCTCTTTTGTGGTGGCAAGATGGATGTTACTTCAAGTGAATCTGGGGCCATATGTAACGTTCTGTATTCAAAAAAAATATAATTTTATTGATAAATGTTATAATATTTCATAAACTATACTACTTTAATTATTATATAATTACTACAGTTTAGTATACAATACTTTATTTGACTGTATAGTAAAATTAGGAATAAATGAGAAAAATTATGCAAATTAAAAATTAAGAATTCTTTTAAGACCTTATTTTATTATCCCAAATTAAGCTTAATGTTAAGTGATTATACTTTTGTTTACTAAGATACAAAATATAAATTATTACTTAAAAAAAAACAATGAAGAATATTGTGAAGTATAATGAGTTAATTGAAGAAATAATATCAAATCAGCTTAAAAGCTTGTATGTTGCTTTTATACACAAACAGTGATACAAATGTATACAGAATGATGAATTCATCATAAACTATTTAATCGAAAAATAAAAACAATTTCGATAATATTTTTGGGGATTATTTAGTTACATATATTTCTCAATTTATCAATCACGAAATACTTTTATAGTTTATAAGAATGATAACATTATTTTTTAATTGGCAACATGTCTAACTAGCTTATTTAATACATCTAATTACAATAATAACTGGTCGATAATAACTTTTGGAAATTAGTAGTAACATTTTATAGTGATGGCTGGGAGTGAGATGCTAGTTTTGTTATTTTTATTACTAGTAATTTCCCGGTCATATTCTTCTTCTTGTCTAATTATAAAAATGTTAATAATTTCCGAAATATTAGTCCAAAAATTATTATCGACCAGAATTTTTCTTAATTTTCTACCATTTAAAAAAATAAAGTTAGCACCCTTGTGTATAAAAGGTATAAGGAATGAACATAAAAAATACTTCATCATTGATAAATTGAGAAAAATGTACCTAAAAAAACCAATCAAAAAATTCTCAATATTAAATTTATTTTTTATAAATTAAGTGGTTCATGATAAATGATTCATTCTGTACAAGACCTTGAGTTTTAAACAAATATATATAACATTTAAATTTGATGAAATAATAAAATTTTATTATAAAATTTAAATTCACCATAATTTTTCTCTTTATTTAAAAAAATTGGAAAAAAAAAACAATGAATAACTCACTCATAAAACAGACTTGGTTCCAAAGAGTCGTATGCAACATCTGGATACATACAGTGCAGTTTTTGAACCGGTGACGCAATACTTAACCGCCTAAAGTGTTCAATGAGTTTCCCATGGGGAATTGGCACATCGTAGATAATTTCTTCATTATCCTGGAATGAAACAAATAAACTTTTTAGTTACAAAACCGGATATACACAAAAGGAAATGTTTTCATATGAATAGACACGAAAAGTAAAAACTGATTTACTCATTTTCTCGTTCAAAATCAATATAACATTTATTTTTTCATACATATCGTGTCAAATGATAATTATTGAAAAAGCAACTAAAAAAGTACTATTTTAATAGCTATTATCTCATATTTTTAAAATGTAAAAATCTTATTAACATAAATTCTAAATAATTTTTAGAAATAGAACACTTACTTTTGAATAAACGTGCAAACCGTCAGCCATTTGATATTTTTTCACTGGTACAAAGCTACTGTTTTGCTGAAGCCTATTTTTTGGCGGTAAAGGTGGTGGCGGTCCTTCGTTTTCAGTGTCGGGTGATGATTTGTTCGTCTTTATTTCGTATAGCCACGAGCCCGATCCGGAAAAATTGGTAGAATTAGTCTGAAGGGCATTTTCAGTCTTTTCAACTATTATTTGAGTAATAGGAAGTTCTTCCAATCCGAAAGGTTCAATATACGTCAGCGTACGTTCCTCATCAATAGGAGTAATTTGAGGAGTATCTTCAGAAGAGGTAACATGTGTGGCAGCTAAAAATAAAGTCAAGAATCAATATATATTTCTTCCTTAACAATATAATTGAATCATTTACATTTAAATCGTATTGATAATATTTTATTAAAAAACCGAAGTGTCATGTTTTTAGTATAAACAAAATTGAAAGGATTTATTTAAAATAGTATTAATAATTTTAATAGTAAATCAGTTTATTTTATAATTACTAAAAAAAGAAAAGAATGCACTATTTGAAAATTGTAGTGATATTATACAACTAACGATATTCGAGAGCGACTAAGCACATTTAATATGTCGATCATATTTTTAATGAAAAGGTGTAAATAAGAGAACTCAAATATATTCCTTATGACCTCATATTACCTGGAAAATATGACGTCATTTTTATAACATTCCAGATTTTAATTATAGCCTAATTGAATGCATTTTTTTAAAATTACTATTCATTTTATATATACACACAAGTCATTACCATAATATACTTCACAAATTATTTATATGTGTTGAGTAAATTTTTTAACGCAAATTAAAATAGTATAATCTGTGCCGAATTTAATTTTTAGAAGTTGGTTAAATTTTTAGGAATCGTATAACCATTGTTTTTGTTTTCATGAATGTTATTTAGTAAAAGCACTATAACAACGATCTGAAACTAGTTTTCAGATCATAGGCAATCAGAGAATGTTTAACACAGGCTCTAGCAAAAAAGGAAAAGGGGATTGAGTAACATAGGCTTCTAATTAAACTTTGCTCATTTTTTTATTATAAGTCAATGTCAACAACCTCCAGTTGCTCCCTTTATTTTTTTAAATCCGACCACTGAGTTTAAATATTATAATTATAAAGTTTTTTTAAAGAAAATTAGATTTATGTAGTTTAATAATCCTGATGTATAAACTTACCTTTAGAAGATGTTTTTTCAATTTCATCCACCTCAATATAATCATAATCATCGGAATCTGAGTCATTTCTTCGTAAAAAAGAAACAGACCTACTTATTCTTTTGGAAATCAAGTCAACACGTTTTTTTACTGGCCGTGTTATGACTTTTGGAACAACAGCCAACTCTTGACAACTTTGTGATTTTGACGCTGTAGTTGTTTCAACGGCCAAGCAATGATCTTGAGGTTTAAAATAAATACTCTCGTATGATAAACTTCGCGAACGACAAGATTCTTTATCACTACCCGTTGCAGGTGTCACCTCCACGTTTATTCCTCGAGGTGCGTTGTAGAAGCTTATCCTGTTATCCGATTCGGCTTTTCTCAGAGTCCGCCTAGCAGCCATGGCGTGAAGTCCGTTCTTTTTACGTAAGTCAGAGTAAATATCGTCGATTGAATCTTTCAAAGACCTACCATATTGAAGATGAGAACTGTTTAATGTGTCATCAGATATCCTGGACAAATGATTTGACAGTTGGTTATGCACATCACTCACAGAAACTCGCTCTCCAAAACGTATTTCATTATTTTGTAGCTGATTGCTACAATTTTTGGCATCTAGAAACGCCACCAACCATTCATCCTGTTCGCTTTTTGATTTTGTTCTCTGAAAACAATTTATAACGATTAGGTATATCTTTAAACATACCTCACCTACGGCCATAACTGTTAAGTACAATTATAGTAAAAACAATTAAAATGTATACAAAAAGCAGATTATCAGCTCCCTATTGTTTTTCTACGTGTTAGTTAAAAATAAATAGATTAAATGTAATCATTTATTATGGGAATTAATAACGATAACGGTTTTATGTATATTTTTCCAATATTACTCATAAAAAAAATCGCTTTATTTAATTATCGAATAATATTTGTGTTATGAAATATTAACTTAATGAAAATGGAATGAGATATAACTGTTATCACTTAATTTGGCAGAAAATCCTACGCATTCAAAATAGTACTACCCGTGTAGTATAATAATATGTTAACACGTGGTTTCGTACAATTAACAGTTAGTCATTTAATCATAATTTTTTTATGTATACATATTATTATATGAAAATCCTTACACTATCATTTATTATAAAACCTACACATAAATTACCACATATATATTAATCACAAATACTTACAAATATAATTATTTGTGATCGAGTGACGATTTGTATTTGACATGGACCACGTGGAGTAATGGACAAAACAAGACCGATGTTGATAGAACCCCTGCAAGGAGATAAATGTTGGGAATATTCCATTTGGGTCTTAAAATATAGCAGTAGTTTTCCTTCGAGTACACACCATCTTTTTTTCCAGCGACGAACTCCTACTACTCGCTATAATAACACATGATAATTTAATTAACATATATATTATTAAATTTATCATCTATATCTCGACATAATAATTTCAAGGTAATAATGCAAATATTTTTTAAATAGACTATATTCTTGTCAAAAAAAGGTGTACTGCATAGGACGTGTTTTTTTGTACAACTTATTAATTGAAAGGGTTAAATAAAAAATATACTTGTCTACTAACCATTCTTCCTTTTTTTTCTAAATAACCAGCCATTTTAATCATTAGTTGTTTGTTTGATCTCTTATCTACATCCGAAACCATATCTGTAACAGGAAATTAATCATTTCAACTTAAGCTAAATATTGGCAACTTTTTCGTCACCATTACACAATTTGTTCTAGCTCATTATTTAAAAAAAAAAGTAGTTACACCATAATAACTCGTTATGATATAGAAAACATAAAACTAAGTGTTTTTGGAGTTCAGTTTGTTGCATGTTGCATTTTTAATATGACAGACAACATGTTTGAGTGTTTGGTGTGCTATGTACACATAAGCCAAATACAATTTTATGAATTTCTTCACTGACAGACAATAGCAATATGGCTTTCTTTTTTACTTTATTTTCGATTTCAATTGCCAATAAGAAATTTGTCAACTTGACTCGAAAATGGTAATACCAATTGCCGGTTTAAATGTACCAATAACTTGATTAAAACTCACCATTGATTTCGTGTCAGTCATATTAGTTCAATATGGCAATTTTCACTGCTCTTTTTTTTTAATAAAAAATTATGATTTATATTTTATAGTTATTGAAATCACTTATTTAAATACTATGATCTAAGAAACGTTGTCCTCGTCGCTAATTTGTTGCGTTTTTAACATGAAAGACAAAATCAAATAGTTATACAGCAAAAATATCTTTATTGAAAAACAATATAATTGTTAACGAGGTGTGTGTCGGTAATCGCACTCGCGATTAGTGGACTACTAATTTATATAATATTTATCAATACGTAACATACCAGAAGATCATAAGAGTCTTATAAAAATCTGTCTACTACCTTCCGGCGGTCCAAGTCAGTACAATCCCTGAATGGGACAGACTCAATAAACCCAAAATTGGCGCCTCTTTATTGAAGTAACTGCACCCATTTAATTCAATTACTAACAATGATCTACTCAGAATTTCTTTACGGACATTAAAGGCTTCGAGTTTAGTTTTCATTTATTTATTTCCGCTTGCAATTGTATATACCAAGAAAATATCAGAAAAAATCGGAAATTCTCCACAATGATAAGAGGCAGTTAATTAAGGAGTAATTATTTTATATTACCTCTCAATAGAAACGCATTTAAAAGCCTTCACTATCGTTTTTCTGTCGCATGTCTGTACACAATTAAATCGTCTCTAATAATTGCGTGGTAATAAAACAAAAACTAATAATTGTTCGAGACGTATAAGATTACAATTGTTAAAAACCAATAAAACTTCTTGTGTAGACATACCGAAAAGAAGTAAGAAGTCTATCGACTATTTCGGAGAAACTATATGTGCACTTAAAATTTTTCTCATATCACAGGAAAATAACCTTTTAGATATATGCAACATGCGTTATGATCTCGTCTTATTGTATTCATCGCATATGCTGTACGTTTTCTTTTTGTATTCAATTAATTACGGTCTGATTACCACAGGCTCATACGGCGCATGCATTAAAATAATATAACGTTAACCAATTACACGTGGTGTACAAGAAGTGATTTTTGCAGGCAGCCACCTAGTTACATTATTTAGTGTATATATTCTCTTGCCTTCGACCAGTAAAAACTGAACGGGTATATTGTCCATTACGGTCGGCCAAAAATACTATCTGTCAGAACTATTGGTCCTCGACTTTAATCTATAATTAAAGATAATTTCGGTTGCGCACAAATAATACACAGCGTGTTAGTTCGTGAGAAAAAAGCTACTGTAATAGAAACTTCTTATGCATCGAAACTCGGCTCTCGATGAGTGACACACACACACACGGCGAGTATAAATGAACATCTAAATAGATATTTTTGGAAACATACGGTTCTGTCCGTATGCAATAGTATATGCACTTTTGCCGATCGACAAACAAAATTAGAGATTACCTCCCACGATGTACGTGATACTAGCGGCATTTAAATTTAGACTTCTATTAATTTTAGGCCTCCCCGAACAAACCATTTCAATTTGTCATCAACAGGTTTAAGCAAATAAACAACTATATTAATTTTTGTTGATTACCATAAGGATTGTGTGTAAACAGAATGAATGTTTAAACTATATTATCTTTTCATCAAGTTTCTCCATTCACACGAGACTAGACTTGTTATACTTTTATCGTATCCAAACTATGTTTACAGTATATTAAAATGCCGATTAAAACTTGTGTGTAAAATATATTCAATAGCGTGTAACCAAAACCAAACAATAGAAGATTAATATTTTTAATGTTTCAAAGTGCGCAATGTGTCATATGCGAATGTAGTAATAAAACGGGTCAGGAGTCTCACACGTCGTTATAACTTGTAATCGAGAGCAGTGTTAGAATTCGCACGATAAATAATGCTACTGTTTATCTGTATGAGAAATGAACATTGTTAATCATTATCGTTCATCGTAACCAGAGTATGTATTACTGTCGAGTACGACGACCAATACTTTCTAATTAAATGACCGGTATAAACGAAAAAAGGAAACTTTACCGACCCGCCGTGGTCATATACCCGTAAACGGCTATTAACAATCAAATGACTCTAACGTAAAAACGCAATATTCGATTAAAAGGTGTGTACTTATAAAAAAACACTGATTTCGCAGTTTTATTTTTTAATGTAATAGATCTTTATGGTTAAGTATTATATAATCATTAGTTTTAAGGTAATAATAAAAGTTTACCCGTAGACAATATAAATTTAAAATTAAAATATTGTTTAAGTTAAGATTAACGTTATCAAGATTTAAAAAGACATTTCATAAAGGTACAAACATATGTTTGGAATTATTTACAACAGTACAAATTACCAGGGCGATAAAAATGCCATTGAAGCTCCGGGCTCTAGTGGGATCCCAATTGGGAAAAATCGCAAGCAAATCTAAAAAGAAGCTACAAGTAAATATTCGTCATGAACACTAACGTTTCGGCTACGCTACAGATAATTAACTTGTAGAAATTCTTCATAGAAATGAACGAAAAAACCTATAGACGAACTCATAGAGAACGCGTTTTCACACTTCGAAGAATATTTAATTTAATATTGTTTGCCCAAATCATCATCATATAATTTGTAAGCAAAAGTCACGATTATTTTTAAAAAAAGAAGAATCTTCCGAGCGAATCATATTTTGATTCTTATTATAATTTATTACACTCTAATCACTTAACAATCTTTTACGCAAAAATACTATAACATCGTAATTTAGTAACAACTGAAGAATTTTTTACAACAATTACTGTCAATAAAAATACACGTTTTTTCACACATGGATTAATATATGTTTAAGTGATGGGAAATAATTGTCGACTTCTGACCCGCACTTTTGATGACAACGTATATACTAAAACAATACTAGACAGGAAGAGTAAATTCGATGATTAGTTATGGTACAGTAATACATTACTGTTATGCGAATTAACTATGATATTTCAATCCAAACATCCTGTTAAGTAGCAAACATATAAAAGGGTATGAACTAATTTTATCATCAATTTTTCAACTATCTATTAGAAAATTGTGCCATCATAGTAAAATAATAACTACACTGCTTAAAAAAAAATCAAAGTAATAGTTGGCACATATGTAAAAATTAATCACTTATATGTTTTCTAACCTAACATTTTGATAAAGTTAATCTAGTAAGCTATAATTAAATATTATAATATAAAAGAATATTGAAAAATGCAAAACGTTTTATTTGATGTAGTTGTATTAGACTACGAATTTTTTAATATAATATGTGTTTACATTAGTTTTAAATTATTGAATATAAATATAAACTTTAACAAAAAAAAGTATAGTGCTTGATAACTTTATTTAGTTAGTCTCAAAATATTGATATAAAATAAATATATTATAATGTATATTAATTTGGTACACTTTTTTACAGTTTGATAAGAATACAGAAAATAGAATCAAATTTCGAGAAATTTTGTGTTTACAATATATTTACAATGAAATTCATTCTTCAGTCAGAATAATTTATTTGTTAAATTAGTATTATATAAATGCACATTACTTAAACGAATAAATAGTGCGATTTTAAGAGCATTTTTAAAATACAATAAAAACATTATCTTAACATATTTCATATATTTTTTCTTAGTTTTATTTGTTATTTTATAACATTATCTGCTGAATATTTAAAAATAATAATAATAATAATAATGAACGCTGACAATTTAGAGACATTCAAGTAAATTTATTAACAGAAAGTCGGGGTGAACAAATTGTGCACTCAAATTACCATGGTCGTAAAAATTAATTTCGAACGGCTAATATCGTTTAAGCAAAGCATATAACACGAATATGTACATAAAACAAGCTACTCTTACACTTTGTTTTACTTTTTAATAGCTATGAGTACACAACGAACGTTTTAAAAAATATTTTCAAAATACTCGGGTAATTTTAAAGAACGCGGTAATTTCAAATTCCAGGTAAAAACTTATCGTAAACATTTTTTTAATATTTATTTTTATTAGAAATATTTAACTATAATTTACTTACTCAATAAAAAAAATGTCGCACAGATATCAATGAATACTTAAAACAGTTACTTTTGAATAGCGCGGCATAACACATGCAACACGAGCGATCGCTTGTTTTACTATGCAAACTCTGAGGCAACGCGCGATGATAACTATACGAGCCCATACAGATCTGCGCTCTGTCGGAACGCAGTTTTGAGTCCGTTGGACTTAACAGTGGAAATAAAACCTAGTCTTGATTAAAAGGTGCAGTAATTTACCGCTTATACTGATTACTGGATACGGTTACCGCCTAGTTCTACAAGAGAAGTAAGTACTTACTGTTAACTATTTAATACCACACCCTCAGATTAAAAACTAATACATGATTAATTGATACTATACAGTCGTTTGTCTTAAATTACATAATCCTGAAACATCTGTAACTTCAAAAAAGAACTCGGTTAAAAATATATAAAACTATTTTTGTGAGAAATCTAAAACTTTACGATGTTATAATTGAAATAATATTGTTTATGTTAATGACTTTTACAAGTTAAGACTATTTAATATACATTAGATGTTTACAACACTGGCTATTTTTTCTGGTAATTCTTGAAATACTTCAAACATAACGTGGTTTACTAGAATTTTATGAATACAAATATATATTAATATATACACTGTAGTAATGTAGAATAGTGGTAATAAATAGAACAGCCCCTCTTAAGAGGTGTCTAACTTGACCCGTAGTATAGAGCCTGAACTCTCGAGAAGTTTTCATTAAAACTATGGATGATTGCAGCTTTCACTTATGTTTTTTTCATATGATGCTAAAAACACGAATGTGTTATGCGGTAATTGTCTAAGAAGAGTAAAAATTAAATCAACTGATACTAATATAAAGATATTGTTAGACTAGTTACATTTATAATATCTAAAAAGGAAAAATTTAGTCTGGTGATCATTTCGCGGCTATCACTTATGTTTTGAACTCTTCTGATAATTTTTTTTTATAATAAAATTGATGTCCATGTAGATTTATAAGAGAGATGCTAAGTGCTGACATTTCTTAACCGTTTTTTCATTCATTTATTTTTAATCTATAATATATAATTTGCTAAGCATCACAATTGTCTACGTTAAATGCGAAATGTATAATTACAAATGAACTAACAGACTTAAATTATACTCATATAGATAAAGGTTATTGCTAATAACTAATAATAATGGTTTAAGCTCAATGCCCTAACAACGTAATAAAAAAACCAGTGACTGTAAATATTATCGAACAATAGAAAAGAAAAACCTTTGGACAAAAACAATACAATGAAGATAGTTTGCGAGTTATGATAGATAAATTATTGAAAACGAAACTTATCTTTTTTTGATAATCTTTAGTAGGTACCATATATTTGAGTGTACGTTTTGGTTCCTCGTGTACTTTGTTCCTAGCGAAGGATTAAGGGTTGAAAATAATGATACGTGTTTTATTCCAAATGAATATAAATAGGTATTAATTGATTGAGTTTTATTATAATTCAATTACTTTTAACTATAATATTAACTAATAATTTAACCATATAACTAAAAATTAGTTTACGTACTTATGATACTGGAAACAATGTGCACTACAGAATTATTGTACTCTATTTTCGATGTTCACTGGCACTTAAAAATATTGTGGTTGTAAGTACTCAAAACTTCTTACTATATTTTAATTACAACTAAGACTGAAGCGCGAAAATATAATCAACATTTAAGTAATCACTAGTGTAACGATCAAGACCCCAAACAGACACTGAGATTACGCGTCATCTTCAATAATTATATTACAGGTTTTCTACCTAGACTAGTTTCACAATAAAGATTACGTGCACTGTTGACCCTGAACAGCCGTGGACACTGATTCTGTTAATTAATGACTCATAATATTAAAATAAATTACACAATTCGAATATTATGTTATTTTAAATATATGGAAAAAATCGGCGACTTTAGACTACTAGTCGTTTGTTCTGATCGCTATGCACATAAAATATATATATATATCATTGTAAATCTAGTGGATAAGTTCGAGTACTCCTTGTAACAAACCAGTTTTTAAATTGGTAAGATATTCCACGGATAGGCGTCACCGTCGATGATTCAATGGAACATACCAGGTTTTAGCGTATATTCCATTCCCATAAAGCATTCACAAGTAATTTGATCGGCATAATCTCAATCATGATATGAAAAAAGTGCAAGACGAATTAAATTCGACATCAAATCAGTTTTCATGTTAAACATGACGCAACTCATCATCAAGATAATAATTACTATCTCCTTCTACTTTGGAACAAGTTGATTCTCTTTTCACAACACTTACTAACTGGAAATCACTTTAAGTGCCAAGAAGATTGATAATTATTTCTCTTAACGGCTATAAAATGAACATCGAGGAATAGAGTCTCTTTTCTGTTTTTTCTTATATATTGGTAGTTACTCTGCAAGTGGATAAAAACAACTTGTGATGTCATTTCAATGAAAATATCATTATAGGCCATGTGCACTTGTAAATATTCAAAGTGAAATTATTTTTTTTCCATTTAAAACGTATATTTTTTGTAATAAGTTCATTAGAATTTAAAATTATTTCATTGAATTAAATTGAAAATAACAAAAGTATTTTTTATTCAATTATAACTTATATCAAACATTTTAAGATCAAACGCTTGGTTTGCCGTCATTTCCACAATATCACTAAAAAATAATTTTTACTTACATAAGCAAAGTTTAAAAAAATAAAAAGGGTTAAATTTAATTTCCCGCTCANAATATCACTAAAAAATAATTTTTACTTACATAAGCAAAGTTTAAAAAAATAAAAAGGGTTAAATTTAATTTCTCGCTCAAATTATAAAATAATTTTTACACAATATTACATATCTTATATATATATATATATAATATATTTTTCTAAAGTTTGTGAGAGGGGAAAAATTTTTGATATGACTAAGCCTTCCAAACGCCCCAATAAACTTTACCAATGATTTTTTATTTGAAAAAAAGGATTCAGCATTTAAAAAACGTTAATTCAGAAATTAATATTAATAAGAATTAACCACTTTTAGGTTAAATGAATAACTCACATGCTCTTACAAGGCCAAAGATAGAATTAAATTATAAATACTTGAATAAGCTGATGCCCTCGTTTTAATGGATTCTGTAAATTTAAATGTATGCAAAACTGACAAATTAAATATGATATTACTAACATGGTTTCTACTCTTTACTCCATGACGGAGCATGAACCCTTTTTTGGCGCGCCACTTATACAAGCAAAAGCTGATTGTATTGATTTTTTAGCATCTAGTTGGCGACGGTGGCTAGTCTTTCTCCAGCCGTCTGCACATCCCCACCGACATGCGTGACACACAATCGCATAACAGCTGCTGTGTACATGTAACTATACGCCGTATAACACAACCTCAGTTATTATAGTGTATACTCTAGTCATTATATACTAATATATAGTGTTGTCGAAATTATTTTGTAATTTTATAATACTTTTTTTTAAAATTTATATACTTTTTTTAATTTATCTTGTTTGTACAATATTTTATTTGTATTAAATGTATTATTTTTATATTGTTATTAATTTTTAATATATTCATTCTTTCAAGTGCTAACTTAACCAATATTTTACCTAAAAAAGTGAAAAATTAAGTTGTTTGGAACAATTGTAGCAAAAATGGAAAATCATAATTATCAAAACGATGGATACACGTGTTTCTACTGTAATACGTCATACGAAAAAGGTAAGACTACTCAAAACAATATACTAGACACGTTTTACATTGTATCTTAAATTATCGAGATAAATACGGTAGTCCATATCATTAGTACAAAACATCAATAATTTGTATAATGCCTTGTTTACTATTACTAGTTATCTGCGATAACGGGCACTGTGGTTGACGCACGTGATAAGAATCGTCGCGCTATTATTTTGATAATGCCATAAAACGAAATGCACAAGAAGCGAAAGTATACTCATTAGTATATATATGTCTAACGGACATTAGCAATAAGAAGTATTATAAGTGTCATAGGAGTGGTGGAAAGGTATGAGATAACTATTAGGAGATTTGTTGTTGAACACACACAATTTCCATGTAATATTAAATTACCTTGAAGTATAAGATTTTTTGGTTAATTCAAGAAAAAAATGATACTTTAAATAATTGAAGGTTGGATTCTTTTAGTAAATTACTAATAACAAAAAAAAAAAATTTCTCTAACCAGGTCAATATAATTTTACTTTGTCTTCACTAAAATATCATTATGATAAATATTAGTAGAATTTACTCAATTACTCAATCTCCAAAAATACATTCTAATCGCAAATTAGGTCTTTTTCAGTCGTAAATTTTTATTATAAGATTTTATCATGATTAATATAAATATTTATCTAGTAAATATTCAGTGAAAGTATAAGTAGCTCTCCTATCTAACATTTTAATATTTCATTATCTTCAGTAATTATTACTTAATAGTAGAGTTTTTTTTTAACTAAAAAATCAATACCGAAGACACGAAAATTTGCGGTTGAATTTATCAGAATTAATTCTAAGAATTTCCAGGTTTGATTTATGTTCATTTAGAATTTTTTTAAGCTTATTGAATATATATGAATGATTCTACATATTCACTAATGAGTAATTTTAAAATTATTGCTCAATCCAACATTCTTATAATTTCTGTTAGATAAATTATTAGGTCAACAAACTAGCATTACTTAATTAATTAAAGCCAAAAATAAAAGATATTGATTTGGTTACTAGGAACAATATTAATTTTATCTTGCTGTCATTTGAATAAAATACTTTTAAACAGTGTTCGAATTTTAGTAATGTTTGTATGCACATTTCATTAGGTGATTATTTTTCTTAGTTAAAAGTTCAATATTTAACTAAACTCGCATAAATAATATAATTTAAGTAAAAATTCAACAGGCTATTTTCAATTAAGAACTAAATCATGTATTTAAGAAATTCCAATTATTAATTATCTATTTACACACTGATTTTATGAGCCCTACTTAATAAAATTAAAACGATTTTCCAATCACAATATATTTACAATTTTAATGATCGTTTACAATACCAGACAAAATTTATTCTACAGTAACTAAACTTATTATTAAGTAAAAACTAAAGTTTCATTATAAAATTATTCAGTTAATCATCATAATTTTAAATTTCTCTTTAATATTATTTACATTTTTTTTACACCCTAGTAGTAATAAATGCTCTACTTCGTCGTCATTCCGTGACGAAACATTTATTATACAATTGATATCATAAGCTTACTGAACTCGAATTTTAAACATAAGTTAAGAATTGAACTGTAAATTTTATAAAAATTTTTGCCTTTATAGAGACAATAAACTCG